GAAGGTAAGGAAAGCTGTTTTGTTGTTGTTTGACATCGTCTCAATCTCCAGAGCCCTAGGCAGCCTGAACAGAGAGGGACAAACCCAAGGCAAGCTGGGGCCAGGCAACATCCTGGGGCACAGGTAAATTTTTCTCTGGAAATATAAAGTTAGGCAGTGATAGAAAATGGTTGAAGTTTCTGAAGAAAGTTCCATAAATCATAGACAAAGGATTGTGTTCTTTTACATTTTGTTTCTTAGTGCAGTCCTATGTTCATGCCTGTGTTTATTATTCTCATACAGTGACTGATCTCTCATTTATTTTCTTACTTTGCTGAAGAGTCATTTTGCCTCTACTCTCTGACATCCAGGGAAAAGGATGGCATGGAGCACTTCTCAGCCTGCGCTGTCATTAGGATCGGCCTCAGAGCTCTTTAAACATGCCAGTCTCCAGCCTTCTTTCCAGCAACTCTAATGTAATTGGCTGAGAGATGTGAGGAGGGAGGAACTGGACATTGTGCTAAGAGCTCCCAGATGTATCTAATACTGTACATCCTAGAGATGAGAACCAGTGGTTTCTAACCCAGAATCCAAAGCTCTTTGTGGTAGCTACAGGAATGTAGACGAAGAACCAAGGAGAAATTAGCAGCCTTAAGTCTATGTTGTAAATTCAACATATCACTTAAGTTTTCCACAGTCATTTTTGTACTTCTGTCCCCATTTCACCTTATTCACAGACCTCCTGCAGTTATTTCCTTTATAATGTTTTAATTCAACTCCATTTTTTACTTAAATTTCTTTTTAAAATAAACTAGTAGAATGGGGCTGATAGGCAGGAGCAAAAGAAGAGAAGACTGGCTCCTAGGAAGAAAATGCACTCACTCAGAGTCAGAAGTCAGGGAAGTCAGGAAGGGGCAGACTGGCTCAGGGCGGGAAACCCCGGATCCACATGGCAAAGTTGGCCCACACATAGGGGTGAGAAGCGATGGAGGCTTGGCAATGGTTTAGAGAGAGGTCCTCAAACTACGGCCCGCGGGCCACATGCAAATACAAATATTGTATTTGTTCCCGTTTTGTTTTTTTACTTCAAAATAAGGTATGTGCAGTGTGCATAGGAATTTGCTCATAGTTTTTTTTTTAACTATAGTCCGGCCCTCCAACGGTCTGAGGGACAGTGAACTGGCCCCCTGTTTAAAAAGTTTGAGGACCCCTGGTTTAGAGAATAAGAGAGGAATGCCAGGGAAGGGCGTTACAGGCAGTGTGGAGCTGTGCCTTTAAAGGAGCCCTAGGGGCAGAAGGAGAGAAAGGACTGAAGGAACAGTGAGGCTGGAGGAGGTGGCCATCTGGGGACCAGAGATGAAGGCAGGGCAGAGTGAGGCCCAGGTAGGGCTGGTGGAAAGGAAAAGACAGGCAAAGAGGTGGGAATGAGGGGAGATCTGAGGGAAGGGTGGGCCTGCACTGGATGGGATGGGATGGGATGGGATGGGATGGGGGCAGGGGGTAGACAGCTCAGCAGGCAGGTCAGATTGTTCTTCAGACAGTGCCAGGCAGTGACCAGCAGGAGAACCCCCAGCAACCCCCTGCAAACTGCCTGAACATACATCATGCACTATGAGGGGCGGAGGTTCCCACACCTGGGAAACACTGCCGGACACATTATAAATAAAGAACAACAGTATTTTCACTCTTCCCCTTTCACTACCATAAAAACAGGTGAACAAAGAAATATAAACCTCCACCTCACTTGTCAGGTTCCCATGGATACACCAAAACTCAACAACAAAAAGCAATGTTACTTCTCTTCTCTCATACACCACTCATATGTCGCATCTTTCTTCTGATGGACAATCCCACCATAGGAACCATCTCCGTAGTCACTGTAACAAATACCCAGCAGAGTGGCAAACGCCCAGCAACAAACACTGTAAAAACAGCATCTGCTATTAATGAAATAAGTCATGTTTCTGTGCAAGCTGGCAGTTCATTACCATATAAATCCTTACATATCGTTAACTACAGTCCTGGAAAACAATCCCTTTGCTTTGGGGGGAGACAAAAGATTGGTTTGCAATCACCAAGCATACACTGTCATCCCTTCATAAAGTTTATTTCTGCTCTATGATGTGTTCTAATGCATTTTCCTAGGTGTGTCAAACCACAGATCCATTTATCCCCCAGTCGTAGCCAAGGGAATGACTCAGGCTGGTGCACAGCTTGTCGATTATTTCAGCTTCCTGGGCTAAACTCATCATTTCCCACTTCTACTCATTTCTTATTCCCTCCTCACTTTCTTGAGGCTGTTACTTTCAAGATGACATGAGGCATGACAATGTCTGGGTGAAATAACATAAAACCCTAAAACAGATGAAGGGAGCTAAATTCTGTTACTCTAAAGAGAGATATAAGAGGATTTTGTTCACTGCCCGGAAGGATCGGTTCATCACTTATCCATTCATTCAACAAATATTTATGAGCATCTCCCATGAGCTAGCTCAGTCTAGCATACCATGTTAAAGCATGCCATTGTCTATACAATGTTAGCTAACATTAGTTACTAAAGGGAAGGCGCTATATCCAAAAATGCTGCTTGAACATGGATGTGGGTGTGCACACATGTACAAGTGTAATACTGTGATGCCCATTAATCAGACTGGGCAATATAATCAACACCCAATCCCCCGGAAATAAGTTGCCCTACACAGTCAGAAACTGTTAGTCTAAAGCCTCACATTAAAGAAAACCTTAGAGACACTGTTTATGGAAGACCATCAGCTTTCCAGTTACAGCTGCACATGATAACAAAACCTGCATGGAAGAACACAATTCTGGCAACCAACTCTGCTTAATCAAGGAGACAGCTTAATCCTTCAACCCATAAATTCATTAACCTGACATTTCTAAGAATGCCTGACACTTTTACAAACACTAACACAATTTCCCCCAAATTCTACAATATAGATATTGTCGTTAATATTCCCATTTTTCAGTTTAACAAACTGAGGGTCAGTTTGAGGGTAAATCATTTATTCAAGCGTACTTAGAAAGTAATGGAGCCAAAACTTAAACCTTGGTTTCTAAGTCATGGACTCAGGCATTTTCTAAAAAATAAAACTTAATTATTGGTAGTATAGCTTATGCATTAACACCTAGTTTCTTCTTATAGTTAGCATCATATGTCAGTTGGAATCTTGTTTTAATTCATGTAAGTATAAATTATCTCTCAGCCTCTAACACAGTGGTTCTCAACCTTCCTAATGCCGCGACCCTTTAATACAATTCCTCATGTTGTGGTGACCCCCAATTTCATTGTTACAAATTGAACATAATTAAAGCATAGTGATTAATCACAAAAACAATATGTAATTACATATGTGTTTTCCGATGGTCTTAGGAGACCTTTGTGAAAGGGTCGTTGGAGCCCCAAAGGGGTCGCGACCCACAGATTGAGAACCGCTGCTCTAACAATTCTTAATTATTCTTAATTGGGCTTTTCTCAGCTCCTGGTGATCACATACCACCTGTTCCTATCTGTCCTGAAATGTTTGTGGGAGAATAAAAATTAATTGTCTTGGTAATGAAAACTAACATTTAAGAGGCATTTTCTTCATGCCAGGCACTAGGATAAGCATCTCACTGAACCCCTATAGCAACTTTCTGAGTTCGTGCTACCCTTATCACCACCATCCCCTTCTCTAATGGAAGAAAGGAGCACAGAGAGGTTAAGAACTGGCCTGAGCTCACACAGATAAGAGGGATTCACACCTGTGGTCTCCTTTCCCCTTCCCCGGGGCTATGATTTCCACCCGTTCGAAGTTCTGGCTCTCTTCCTAACATTCTCATCTCATCTCAAGTCGGAGCTCCCGCTGGCCTGTTTCTCAATACTAGGGAGAGACTGCTTTTCACATGTGCTGGTTCGGTTTCCTCCATCTTTGATTTCTCCTCGATAAGAGCCCTGCTCTGTGCAGCTCTCTGCTTCCAGCTGGTACTGACCTCCTGGCACACCTGAGCCCGTTCCCGATGGAGATGAACGCACACTGGGGTAGGCAGCAGGGCTTCCCCAGCACCATCTTTTCCGTCAGCAGTTTGATCTCATTCTCATCAAAACCTCTTAAAGGAGCCAAAGCTTTTTAAAAATAACACTAAACATTTTGTTAAACCAATGGCTTTTCCTTATAATGCAATGTCTGGATTTGTGTCACATGACCAGGACATTTAAGTGGCATTAATATTTTATGGTGGACTGTCTTAAGGTCAAGTTAATCTGAAGAATAAAACGGAACTTTCCCTTCCCTTTCCACTAACTGCAAGTGCTGCACCGGCTCTCCCCACAGACAACCCACAAAGGGAGCTGTCCTCAGGACAGGTGCTGTAGCTCCAGATGCTGAGAGGCGTGGGAGGAGGAAAGAACACTTACAGAGCACCTACTGTGCACCAGTCATTATGCTGTGTGTTTTACAGGTATGAGGTAAATAATAAGTCCACAACAACCCCAGCAGAGAGGTCTTACCATGCCCATTTACAGATGGGGAAACCAGCTCAGAAAGGCCACCTCAGTCAGGCGGGGGTCACAGAGGTGGGGAGCCGCAGAACTGAGATGTGAGCCTGTGTTGGTTTGCCCCCAGCAGCTTGCTGCAGGGACCCTTCTCCTTGCTGCACTGCTTCTCAGGGTTCTGTCGGCAGCCCTGCGAGACAGGGCTTACCT